GCCATGTCATGGAACATATCTTTTTTTTCATTTTTTTTTTTTTTTTTGGGAAATCATATCTTTTTCATTTTCACTACCTACCTACCACAACTTCTAAGCCTATACAGCAGACCCCTGCAAGCCTAGCTATCTACCTGTCTTCTGTGAAGGCGAACACCTCTCTCCGTGGAGGGAGGTAACTGTTGCATGTTTGCCGTTTGCCCTAGTGGTTTAGGGTGCAGGGTTGAGGCAGCCAGTGCGGGCCGTCGAGCTTTTCGCCAGTGACTGCGCCTCCCTTAGCATGTTCCCCCAACACTCTTCAAGTTGGTACCGCCAAGCTATCCCAGGCACCCTTCGGGACTTGAACCCAGAACCTAACCAAATGAACTAAACGGTTCAAGGGGGTACCATTCAGCCCCATCCTCTGGGTAGAAGCCAGGCTGGCATCTTACTGGTTTGGGTGGTACCGCCTCTTAGTACCAGTTCGGTGGTAAGGCCATGGGGCTTCGCCCCTGGGAAGGTAGTGAAAACAAAAGTGGAAGGGCGCTATGAAGAAAAAACAGGTAGAACAGAGATTCCGTCAAAACGGACATTTGAACGAAATTGAAACCCACTTATTTGAACCTGGAAATGTCACGGTTTGAGCTCCTTAGGGTCCTCCTTGGATGTACCTGAACTTCAGTTGACTCCAAATGGACTCTCATGAGATAAAAGGTGATATTTTTTGGGCCAAATAAGAAGGTTTCAGTTTCGTTTTTGGGCCAAATAAGAATGTTTCAGTTTCGTTCAAAAAATATAAAATGTCCGTTTTGAAGAAATCGCTGTTGTAGAGGATGGGGTCTGTTTATATATATATATATATATATATATTAAAAAAAAAAAAAAAAAAAAGAGCCTTGGAAGGTAGCTTTGTCAACTTATTTTTAAACCACCAGTACGAGCCACGATTTTAGGAAACGTACAAGCGACTACAGGAGTGCCCAAATTCATCCGACAGGAGTGCCCAAATTCATCCGACTAGAAACATTTCTACTCTATTTTTTTCCACGGCAGATAGGTGGGCCAAGTACTGGTGGTTTAAGAGGTAACTATGGGCGTCGTTAGACACTCCTCAGGGCGTCCTCTGGCTTTAGGACTAATCCTCAGAGCGATGTCAGAAAAAAAAAAGAAAGAAAAAAAAAGAACAACAGTTGTGCTTCAGGCTTTCAGCCAATAGGGTGCCTCCACGATCCAGATTCTCGGTTGTAACGTCTCTACACGTGCATGCCCTCTCCTCTCCGTGAAATGGGGATCCTCGGGCTCCAAGTGACCTTGCGACATCCCTGGGAGCCAAGGACCATTTGGCTGGGAAATCTTCCGGAGTCCAAGGATTTCACATTTTCATTTTCGATTTCATCCCCGAGGACAGGTGGAGCAAAGATGAAATCCTTGGAGTCACATCCCCGAGGAGTGTCTACCGAAGGATTTGTCCTCGGAGTGTTTTCACATTTTCATTTTGGATCTCATCCCCGAGGACAGGTGAAAGGAAGACGAAATCCTTGAAATCGCATCCCCGAGGAGTGTCTAACTACGCCCTATGGCAGCGAAGACGAAATCCTTGGAGTCACATCCCCGAGGAGTGTCTAACAAAGGATTTGTCCTCGGAGTGTTTTCACATTTTCATTTTCGATATCATCCCTGAGGACAGGTGGAACGAAGACGAAATCCTTGGAAACGCATCCCCGAGGAGTGCCTAACGGCGCCCTATGGCGCAGTCACGTTTTCAGTTTTAAAAACAACTTCAGGCATCCCTCGAATACAACACATCCGCACCCAACCCTAAAGCTGGCTTGTATACATTCACAATTTTCCTCCCTTTGGAGCAACATTCAGGAAATAGTGACTCAAACGAATTTAAAACTGAAAACCGTGACTGGGCCCTAGTTGTCCCTATTTTTAAAGGTCCACAGCTGTAAGATATCATCACTGAACTGACCGCCCTGAGGTAATTTTTACTTATTGTACTCCTTTCATTTTGATGGCATCTGGATTCGAACTTCCGTGACCGTCTGTATTTGAACAGTTCATGGGTGTACCACAACATCAATTTACTTTTTCATGCTTCGTTCGCAATCGAGTGAGTACTGGCACTAGGGCTGGACCCGTTTTCCAGCAGGTGCTGCTCGCCACCAATAGATGGAGCCTCCCCCCCCAGGTGTTAGCGATGTCTGCTCTTATCAGCATCGCTAACACCGGTAAGGGCGTGTTAAAAAAAAAAAAAAAGAAAAAAAAAAAGAAAGGGCTTTTTTTGACTCACATCTCTGGAGGCCGTTGGGGCCAGATGCATGCAGGACAAGGCCCTATTTTTCAGTCAGATACATCCAGAAAAGTTCTAGAGTGAGTATGTCTGAGAAGGGTTAGCCCCACCAACTGGCCTTAGGCTAGCTTAATCGGGTCTGCATTTCAGTCAGATACATGCAGGAACTATTGATTCAGCAATGCAGACCTGAGTTCGAAGCCAGATAGAACTAGTGCGTGAATGGAAATAAATGATTGTGAATTGACTGGGGTGGTCAGTTTCATGATGGTACCTGTGGCCTTGTAAAGTAAAAAGACGGGAAAAAAGTGGAAGAGGGAAAAAAGCCGCACCTGACCTAGATTCTGTAAAACAAATGGGGGGAATGGGGCATAGTCGGGCCTAACTCTGTTGGTACCCCCAGGGGCTAAGTCCTACTAGCAGCATTGAGTTTCCTCAATGCCTGAATCTGGACGTGTTTGTCCCCATGTGCAGAAATCGCGTTGTGTTTCCTCAACCGCACATTGCCACAAATGCGTCCAGATTCAGGCGTTGAGAAAAATCAACGCTGCTAGCGGGACTTGGTCCCAGGACCTGGTGAAATACAGATCTCAGTTCGAATCCAGATGCAACCACACACACACACAAAAAAAGAAGGGAAAATTGCATCTGCACCCCACTTAAATTTGGGAATACCCATTATACCCAGTGCCAGCGTGAACTTTCATCTATACCCGAAAGATGGCTGGAGGAAGTTATTTGCATACCCAGGACTGAGGTTGACCCAGGTTGGTACTGCAAAATTGCGCCGAATGCACAAATTATGGACATACATTATGGACATACCCAGGCAAAATAATGGCCATACCCGCCGATTACCCAGGACTGAGGTGGACCGGCCAAATTGTTCGTATACCCAACTACCTGATGGCCTCCACGTTCTTAGGCCGTTAACGTGGTGGTTGAATCGGTGCTCCGCCCAGGTCCATATGCATTTGCCTCAGAGCCTTCCCAGAGGGGGCCTAAGACCCCCTGGGATACTGGTGGCTTAAGCTCATGCACAGCATCCATTGGGCCGCAATTGTCCACGTGGTGGGCATGAGCATAATTTCATTGTCCGCCACCCAAGGCCGCCAATGGGTATGGATATACCCACAATTTGCCAGCCTGGTTTCTGGGCATGAGAATATCTTTTTTGTGGTTTGGACCGAAGGCCCTGCAGGACTGGGTGCGCCCACAATTTCGGACAGGGGAAAAGTTGGGTTACTATGCAAAGTTGAACGGGTTCCGGTTATGGATGCAAGTTGGTGCTGGGACTGGGTATAGCGGGTATTCCCATCTCTAGGTGGGGTACAGATGCAATTTTCCCAAAACTAACTGGGCCGTTCAGGTAATTTATGATATCTTTAGGGGGAAAAAAAAAAAGAAGGCCAGCGGCCAAGCTAAGGCTGTGAGGCACACAAGTGGCATTCAGGAGTCATGCGTTCAATCCCCATTGGGCCCCCGAGTCCATGTACCCTCCTGGGCAGATGTGGTGTCCTCCATCTACAGGTAGCCCGTTGAGCCCCCCAAATTGGAATTGAGCACAGATTGCTGATTTTCGTAGTGGGAGGGGACGGGAGCAGAAGCGCAGAGGTTGGTCCAGATAACATGGTCTCTGATGCTAGTACCGGCTGACCCCTGCCCGGTATCGCCTATCTGCAGGTCAGGTGAAGCCCCCACATGTTCCCGTGTTGGAGGCATGAGCACAGATGTGGCTGCTATGGAGTCCCCCGTAATACTATGATGCAATAAAAAGGCCTAAAAGCCCATAATGTACCGATGGTGGGATTAAACGGCTTTCAACAGCCATTTGACTGGACCCCTCCCCCGGTTTAATCCGTCACTCAGAGGGACGGTCATCCTGAGCTCACCTTTCAGAAGAAAATGAACCGATTCTTTGCTCCAGAACAGATTCGGACAAATGTGACATCTCTCTCTCTCTCTCTCTCTCTCTCTCTCTCTCTCTCTCTCTCTCTCTCTCTCTCTCTC